CTAAACAGGAACACGTGGAGGCTAGGTTTCTTCTATGGCATCAATACAGCTAAATGCATTTGTTTGTATTAGCCTTTAATAATAAGAAACGCATCTCCATTCGTCTCTCGTAGGTTTGTTTAGCATCAAGGGGCTAAAAGCCACAAGCCATCTATAGACGATGGAAATAATTGAGGAAAGTCCACCTCCTTCAGCTCTTTGCAGCTTCTTTTTTCCTGAGACGAGAGCAGATGAGGTAGTCCTTCTGGATAAGAACACGCGGATGATGAATGAGGTAAACCGAGGACTGTCGCCCAGGGGAGTGGACTTCACGTCCTCTCAGCGTGACCCGTTTCTAGTCTGGTGGAGGCCCGCGCCTCAGATGGGAGGAGCCGAGTGCAGAACAGGAAGGTGGAAGCCCAGATTTCTGACTGCTCCAGCCTTCTCCGCCATCTCAGTCACTAACAACCTTTTCATTCTCCTCCTCTTTAACTCCTGACCTCCTCCTCCTCCCATCGTTGGACCATGACTTCCTCTTCCTTCTGTCATCTTCTCATCTCTCCCGCCGCCACGATGGAGACGCCTCACAAAGGCATTTTAAGCACATCTGCTCCTTCCTTCCTCTTCCTAATCAAATCCACTCTTTCCTCTTCCATCTCTCTCTGACAGTGATGGATGGCGGCCTTCACCCGTTTATCGCCTTTGCATATTTCTCTGCCCATCCGCTTAACGACACACATTCATACCTGCTGACTCTCCATCCCTCATTCCTCCCGTCTTCCTCAGACTCCCACTCTCAGTCCTTCGGTTCGCGTTAATGGTCTGACTTTCCTCCATCTTACGCACCACCCGACCATTTCCTCCTCCTCCTGTCTACTGTATAGCACCATGCTAGGCTCTTTAGCGTGTGCTGCATGTTTAGGGGCCAGGTCTGTGGTTTCTATACTCGGCCTGAGTAAAGAGGACGATCCGACTGAAGAGCAATAGTATCAAAAGGATGAGTGGGCTTACAGTACGCACGACAGCTGCAAGAAGAGGCCATGTGGGCGTTCTTTTGTTTCTTGCCTAGAGAGAAAGTGTGTGTGTGTGTGTGTGTTGGCCTCTCTATAATTATGAGTATGTGGGAAGGCTGTTTTGGTATGCTTGTGGTTGTTTCAGTGTGCTCACCTACTGAGGGCTTGGACTGTGAGTGAGAGCACATTCTGGAAAGACTTAGAGTGATTGCAAAGCACCGGGAAAGGGTGTGTGAGTGTGTGTTTGAGAGACGGCGAGAAAGGCTGCTTCAATATTTGATTTCTGAGCTTGAGTCGGAAAGATTTAACGACGCAAGCGAAGCTCGAGTGCATCTAAATGTGTTTCAGTCGTTTTTACCTCCGGCTTCCCACAAACGCCGGCCTTGCCGGGACACGGGAGCGTTTGGAAGTCAGCAGTTTTCTCCTCCTCTGACTGAAGCCTCGCCGCGCACCGATTCACAGCTCATCAGATCCGTGGATTACCGTGCTTGTGATAAGTGGCTTTTGGGAGTTAATACAAATCCCCTTGTTTATAAACACCGCAACATTCCTTAAGTCGATTACGGGCTAATGGCATCTGTGGCTACTGGAGTGGATGCACAAACACACCAGCCAGCATGCAGATATGTTAATACGCACACACACACACACACACACACACACACACACACACACACACACACACACATGTGAACATCATTAATCGTGCTCGGCATTTTGAGGGCTCGACATTTATAAAGAACCACAAAGAATTAAAAACCTGAGACTAATAAGAGCGTTCCACCTTTGAGTGCTTCAGGTCTGCAGTGTGAGATTTAATGAGCTTTATGAAGCATCTGCTAATCGCTCGGGTCTAAAGTGTTCCTCAACGCTAGCAGGTATGTTCAGGTCTGCTAGGACCTACAGAAGTTCGGGAAGAGTTGAACTCCAACAGCAGGGATAGCAGTTTCAGCTCATGTTCTGACTTCATGCAGCCTTTCTGCTCTCCCCGCCCGTCTGCTTCTCGCACCTTTGAGAGTTAAAGGTTTGTGCAGAGAAGAGAAGCTACAGAGGAGCAGCAGCAGCGCAGATGCGGCAACACCTAGCTAAACACACAGGTCTGACTTACATGGGCTCGATCTGATCAGATTTTCATCACAAGTATCTAATATCAAAGGGGTAAGCTGACGCTTTAACGCTTCCTGGTTTTCCGCGAGCCGACAGCAGCCGGTTCAGGAGCGGGCCGTTTCCACCGTGCTGCATCTGACGAAGCCTTCACACGGCAGACATCTGCACATGAAACAACGCTAATGCAGAGGCTGATTCTAATGACGCCGCGTGCATAAAGATGCACGCACCCTTCTGCACCAGTACAGCGTGTAAGATGAGACTTATCGATCTGAAGAGGGGGAGTTCCAGCACTGCGGCAGCACAGCGAACAGAGCAGAGAAGACAGATACACGTCTGAATTAAAGTTTTACAGAACCACCAAGAGCAGCGGAGATAAGAGCCACTGTAGGAATAAGCATTTCCAACCAGCCATCAGCTACGCTTGAGAGCTGATTTAAGCGATGTTAGAGTGGTGCTGAAGCCTCTGACACGTTAAGAGTGAATTTGCATGTAATCTGATGGCGGCGTTGGAGAACGATGAGAGCGCATTACTGTTTAATTAGGCAGGAGGACGTTTTTAAGCAGAAACAGAAATATTAGAGGACAGAGCACACGCGCCGGCTGCTTTACAAACCTGTAGGAACCCATCAGCATCACCGTTAAAGAGAAGATTTAGGAGACGGTGTGCAGGAAGCGCAGGAAGAGACGGACTGAAAGTGAAACAAAGATCTAAAGAGTGAGTGAAAATGAATTGGACAGGTTGCTATCCATCTTTCTGGGTCAGATCGATGAGCAAGTGAAAGGATCCGTTACATCCAACTGTGTGTGTGTGTGCACGAGCGTCAGAAAGCTTCAATACTGCACTCTACGGCTGCTAATGAGATCTTAGAGCAATGTGTGAGGGGAGAAGAGATGCAGAAGAGGGTGATGAGAGGGAGAGCTGCAGGAGAGAGGAAGAGCACGGGGAGAAAAATGACTGTAGGACAATCAAGTGATAAAGCAGATGGGGAGGAGAGATGG